GGGGGCGCCAACCCTTCTCGGGCCTGGCGGCAGCAGAGGCCGAAGCGCACGAGAGGAGGGAGCAGCGAGGGAGGCGAGGAGAGGAGGAAAGGGATGTCCGTACCGACAGAGCAAGGGGGCGACCCGGACCAAACAGTCCGGGTGGCCTCTTCTTCCCTGGCTGGACACCAGCCACCATCCCTCCTTATATAGGGGGGGGGGGAAATGGCCCAGGGTCGGGCACTCCCGCGCCACACAGAGCCACGCACATTTTCGAATATCCTGCCGCTCGAGAAAGCGCGCACGAGCGCCCTCCGCCACCCTGCCCCCCACCGCCGGTGCAGCAGGCGGCAAGAGCCAGCGAGAACGCACACCACGAGCCAAAAACAGCGTGCCGGGCCCGAAGAGGCAGACAAGCCACCACACACTCCAGGGGGCCTCTCCGGGAGACCAAGCCGCCCGACACGCAGGCCTCGCCGCCCGGCTTCTCGCACCCGCTCCCGCAGGCGCGCTCTGCGGAGAGGGCTCGTGCGTGTCCGAGACCTTGGGATCCTTTGTCGCCGCCCGCGTTCCCGCGCGCGCGCCACAAGGCGGAACGCAGCCAAGAAGGGGCGCGAGCCGGCTGGACCTGCCCCCATGGCTGGCACAGGGGCAGCCGCGGGCGGGCGCCAGGGTGCGCGGCGCATGCCAAGCGGAGGTGGTCTCCGGCCGAGGAAGAGCGCCAGATGAGACCCGCGCGCACTATTGAGCCCGGGGGCATTCTCCCGCCCGTACTTCCTCCCCCCCCCCCCCCTGTAGCGCGCCTCCCGGGAAACGAATAGTCCGACCGATTTTAAAAGACGCATTTTGGCTCCAAGGGCGGCATTTTCACCAATTTGCCATGGGTCCGGGCGGAGGGAGCCCTCGGTCCGGAGGAAAACACCATTCAGAAGACCATTTCCACTGACTCATCCCGCGAGGGTTAAACCCTCGGAGGCCCTTCCCGGGTGCGGCGATGGCGCACCATCCCTCATCCAGCGGGATTCTTCGCGCCGAGCCAGGGGGGGGCGGGGGGCCCCTTCTTGTGGACGTCCTACCCGTGCCCCCCCCCCCC